CTTATTTGTGCTGTATGGGCTGGACAGTGAACAGTATGTTTTGAAACTTCAACAATGTTTATGTACTGCATTATAATCAACATGAATCAGAAATCAGGAAGCAGTTTTTTCCTCAATATGACGTATTTCCAAGTGAAACAGGATGCTTGAGTGGGAAATAATTGTGGGTGTGACATGATTTTATTCTTCAGTGTTTGACTGAAGCATAAAAAGTAAATTACAATGCTTTTCTTAAGTTAACTCGACTTGGGTGACCCTAGAGTTCACCCAACTCAAACTTATTAGTTTACAAAACAGAATTTGCATTTTTAACTGGGACTCCTTCCATTACATAATCCCTTTAGACTTTTTCAGACATGGACAGCTTCTACTGTCGTGATCTACTGATGTTGGACAGTTGCACCACATGTAACCATGCTAATTTTCAAGGTTAAAACAACAAATATTTTGTACAGTGTATTAAACATTTATGAACATAAAATCTAAGTTACTTCAAGTGTTCCAAGCAGTGCATCAGCTCACAAGAGAGTATGAGTTTGAACCCCAGCAATGCCATAGTTGTCAAGTGTGTCCATAGTCTTTAAGTGTGTACCCAGGAGAAAGGAGAAAATGTCTGATAGTAATGTGTGAGTAACTGAGAAGCAGAACTCAAAAGTTAAGAGAACTTTTGATTCAACTTCGAGTTGGGTAAACTCTAGTGTCCTCAAGTTGAGTTTATGCAAGAAAAGCTGTGTAATCAGTTTCATTTTAAATATTTATAAGTTGAACAGTCTTTTATTTTTAACAGTCACCACTTTATCAACACTGCCGTGAACAACTCTGACCAGTAAGTTACCTCTCCGCCATGAATATATATTTTGGCCAAATATAAAAACTATGACAAAACAATGTCTCAGACATCAGGCGGCATATCATCATGCCCTCATCATCAGCTCACCCACCTCACAGCCTCACAGCATCACAGAAAACTTTAGAAAAACGTGCAAATACAGCCAGATATTTGAACTCTCTCATTTGTGTTAACATGAACACAGGTTGCCAACATACACAAACAGAAGTAACTCATAAGTGATTATTTTTACAAACAGTCCAAAAAAAGGATGTCAAAGTGAGAGAGCTAAGCGACAAAAACAAAGGAGTCTGTCTTCAGGCTGACCAACTGGAGTTGCATTCGCGTGCAGCCGAGAGTACAGGTGATGACGGGTGCTCTCACTCGATGATAGGTCAGGGTGGATGGAGGGAAACATGCTATTATTGGTTTGTAAAATTTTCCTTTTTGCTGGAACGTGGTGATGCTACCAAAGGTCAGAAGGCATTTAGATGCGGGCAAAAGTTACTACACTTTAATCGAAGATGGCAGTCCTTATTTTTGCTGTATCGAAAAATGTATCAAATCAAGACACCACTGTATCGAATCAAACCAAATTATGAGTTTTGTGAATCGTTACATCCCTAATAAATACATTTAAACAATAAAGCAAACAAAAGCAACTGACTTTGTAAGGATTAGCTAGCCTGCTATTCTGTTTCCGAGCTTTGATTTTTGCGTGAGCAGTTATATTCTCCCGATCTCCAGTGCTGTCCATGCTTTGTGAGCTTAGTAAATGCCACTTTCCTACGGAATAAAGCAGGATGTAGTAGATGCTCCACGGCTTTAAAAGTAATTACCCTTGCAAACATCCCCTTTACCAGCTGGTGCTATAGCCTCAAGAACACCTGACACATACATCTCTCTCCCTCTCTCTCTCTCTCCTCTCTCTTTCCCTCCCTCACCCTCTCTCTCTCGCTCAATCTCCTCTCTCCCTCCCAGCTGTTGCCCTTGTTTGTCTTTCTCTTCCCCCTTGGGTTCAGAGTTTCCTGTAGGGCTGGGCAGCCTCATCGAGAGCCATTTCTTCCAGACTGCTGTGTGAGAGCTAGAGAGGGCCTCTCACTGGCTTTGCTTTCTCTCTCTCCACTTCTACAGCTCTGCCTTTCAAGAGGCATTTACCATTTTAACTTTAGGCCTCTTGTCTTCTGGGAAAGCATCTCTGCAACTAAATCTGGCTAAAGCGCATCAATTCAAGGCGAATAGTCTCTTTCCTGTATTAGGACTGACTTAAACTTAATGAAAATCATAAGGCCTGCTTAATGAGGGCAAATCAATCATGGACACTGCTGTACTGTATCCGTTTCCTTACCAGTACACTCCAAAAAAGACACCAGAAGGGGCTTCTATGTAGTATTTAATTGAAGAAGAACCAATTTCATTTTCTTAAAGAACCCTGTTCTCTGAAGGACCTTGAGATGTAGAGGTGTAAAGAACCCAGAAAAACATCCACGTAATGTAAAGCATCCAGTCTTTATCAATTAAACTGTAAAGAACCATTTAGGAACCTTTACTTTTAAGAGTGTAGCACAGTCGTTAATGAACAACATCAAAGCATCTAGCATTGCACATGAGATGCAAAGCCACGTGTGTTTGGTGCACAAGACAAGGAGGCAACACAGAAAGAAACGTATGGCTCTATAATGCTTGGATGAAGGAAATTCTTCAAGGCTCCTTGGCTGCAAAAGCAGCAGCTGGGGTTTCTTTTCAGACCCCTCCTTCGCTTTCTCTCCGTAAAAGGAAGTGAGGCTTAGGGAGGGAGGAAAGAGCAGGAGGGAGGGAGGTTTAGGGGAGGCGCAATCATGCCTACTTGTTGGAAAGGCTTAGGGCTGCCAACTAGAAAGTGCTTTGTTTGAAACCCAAACCCCTGTTGACTTTACCACAAGTTACTGCCTGCTGCAGCCTTTCATTCCACAACAGGGTCATCTGAGCTAAAGGTAAGGGACGTGGGCTCACCGACTGTGGCATAATGAATCTGCGTTAAATTAAAAAAGGCGCAATTAATCTAGAAGGCAACAATGCACAAACATAAACTCTATATTAATGAAATCAATATGCCGCATACCTGCAGGAGATCAAGTGTATTTCATTACTGCTTGACTGCAAGCTGCCAAAGGTGTGTTTCTCTTTGTGTACGCGGAGGGTCACTTCAGGACATTTTGAGTCTGAATCTCCTTTCTGAACCCCATTCTCCTCCCACCCTGAACTAAATTCACATCAGCCTTAAAGGGGAATTCCAGTGATTTTTCAATATTTCTGCATAATTCAGTCCTTGAGACATATACAAAGTCATTCAGCACGGTTTGAGGTGAAATGGTTCATTGTAAGGCTGTATGACACTGATATAACATCGACGTGTTCAATAAAGCTGTCAGATATCATGATGACGATAAGAGAAGTGATAAATTATCATTAAAATAGTGTGCCTCTGACTGGATGTGATACAAGTACAGACTTTTTTTTGTGTGTTAACAGAAATCTAACCATCCTCTCCTTTAAGAAAACAGCAAAATATAAAATTACAAACGCACCATTCACTATCACGCGAAATAAAAAAAGACAAACTACTAACAGTTACTTACCTCAGAACTGCGAGCACATTTTTTGTGTTTTTACAGGCTTGTAGTTCAGGATGGAGGAGTTCTGTCTGTTCTGTCATCACAGCTCTTAATGATGTGTTTAACGTGGAACGATAAAAATACAATCTATTGTGCAGCCCTAGTTCATTGCACAGGAACTGACCGACTTTTTTACAGTGGAGGTAATAGAAACCAGGGGTCACAATGTCTACAACACAATTATAGCCATTTCATTTACTATACAAAATGACTAGCGAACCTGCACGTGTCTTCTAAGTTTTAATATATAATGTTGACAATTTTGCCTCACCCCGCCCTGCACGTATGTCTCCACTATGAACATATTTTAAAAATTTCTTGCTTATCTTAAGTCTTATCTAAAAAGTTCTGTAAAACAATGCCTCATACATCATGCACCGTATTCATACCCATTTTGTGCAATAAATTCCTGTGAGGTAGTTTTTGGAAGCATTAAAGACGTCTGGTTCATATCACCACCACTGTGAAAAATTCTAACTCAGCCATGAATACATTTTTAAAATAGTCTTATCTAAATCAAAACTATTGCAAAACAATGACTCACTGGCATCAGGCAGTGTATTCATAACCATTTGGTGTAATAACGCTCTGTGTGGGAGCTTCTGGAGGCATTAAATGAACAATCTGGCAAAAAATCAAGGTTTTACAATCTTCCACAATTTTCTACATCTAGATGCAGCCAATCAGCCAAGACATGTTTGGAATTTTGCTTCTTTACTGTGAACCATAAATTAGATTTTTCGCCAAACTATTTCTTTAAATTGCTCAGACGTCTGGTTCCCATCACCACAGCTGTGAAAATTATCAACTCGGTAGGTTTCTCTAGAACGGCAAATTTGATATTAAACCACTCTGAATGACTTTGTTAACATCTTAACAATTCAATTATGTACAGATTTTGAAAAATCAGTGGAATTCCCCTTTAACACTCAAGCTGCCAGTTCTTTCAAAAGGTGGGCAATATTCCTTCACAGCTCCTGTACAGTCAGTACATTTTTAGGAATATATTCTTTTTGGGCTGTGATCAGGATAAACTTAGGCTTAGATTTGCTTAAATCTATTCACTTAGTGGCAACTTTATTAGACACAGCTAACCTTGTTAGGTGTACAATTAGAGACTACAGCTCATCTTTGTTCATGTGCAATTCGGATTTGTGCTTGATACACAGCCGCAGCTCACACTAACATGCCACTACTATGCTGGTATCACTGTTGAGTCTAACAGTCCAATAGTACCCGGTCCTATGGTGCTCTCTTTCTACTGATGGTTGGTAGAGGCTGATGAATGGGGGAGGCTGATAAATTGTGCAGCAACAGATGTGCAATCTGTTGGGATATCAGTAATTGTTAACTTACAAAGTGGACCTATATGGAAGGTGTACCTGATAAAAATACCAAGCAACAAGATAGGTATACATAATAAACTGGCAACTCAGTGTGTAGCAGTGAGTATATTTGGTCAACCTGTACATTGCATAGCTAAAACAAATGCTAGTTTAAACAATCGTGACACTTACGGCTGGCAGAGTTTAACCAGGTCTTGGTCTGTGGTGCCAGGGTGGAGGCCGCGGATGTAGAGGTTGGTTTTGCTTAGCTGGTCACCTCCACTACTGCTGCCATTACTGCTGCTGGTAGTGGTATTAGGACTGGGTGGTGCCATCTGTTGGGTGGAGGACACATACGCCTGCTAAAAGTATACAGAAAAATGAGTAAGACTGGGTTCCACCCAAGAGAACAACAGCAGGGGAATTTGGGATGTGGGGAGGAACTGCAAAGGGTGTAAATTAACAATGCAAAAACAGTTCTAGCTGAATTCCATCTGAAATATATAGTGTGTCTGTAATTTATCTGACACTGCACTGGACAAACTGAACCTTCATCAGGAAACTTTGAAAAAGAAAAAAAACTTCACGCCAAATTATTTAAAAAAGAAAGTTTCCAAAACTATATTTCATATTTTCAAAATGCTTAATACAATTCTGATAAACCAGAACCACAGCATACCGACTCTGCAATATGCCTTGCAATATATTTAAAATGCATTAGTGAAGCAAAACTTGTAAAGAGCAATATAGCGGTTAAATATTGGCCTGGATTATTCTAACTTTGGTCAATTCAGCAATTTTGGTCATCAAATCATTTAGAGAAATCTTGAACTGTAATTTGACAAGATGTTCTGTAAAAAAAACACATAATGGTCTGAGTACTCATTTGCACATAGGCCTGTGATGATCATAAAATTTTAGCCAACAGTTGACTGTCTTTTTGTTCATTCAGTACAAGCCTCAAGCACCTAAACTGATTCATTAGTTATCTTGCTTGCTAGCAATTACAGAGTCGCTCTGTCCCACTAGCAACAACCTGGATGTTTTTAATAAATATATAAAATATTTTTCCACATAACTCCATTATCCAGTTAAGTAGCATGTTGTCGGCTCTCTGTGTATGAAGTGCTGTGACTCTGTGTTGAGCTGCTAGCGAGCAATGAGGGATGAACAAGATGGGTGAGACTCCCCGCTATGAAAACAATTCATTTGGCTGCACCAAGATAAAGCAGACAGCTTTCTTGATAAAACAATCGTGCCACAATAAAAAAAACAGCATTGAAATACAACAAAAAATGCTTGCATGCTCACCTACTTAGACAAAAAATACAGGCATATGTCCATCTAAATATATTCTATCAACATTATTAAAACAAAAACACATAGTTCATCTGAGAGACCTCCAAAACAAGCTTAAATTAGATTTAGAGGGTACTGTTAAAAACAGAACACTTACCAGTAATACTCACACAAATAGAAACTGAATCATAATGTACCATGATATAATATCATAATAACACTGCAGTTAACACAAAAAAGTCTATCTGCATATTGCCACCATCTGTGATTAAAGGATTTTAAAGGTCAACATTGCGATATATTGTGCAGCTCAACCACAAGTCCAAGTTGTGTTTTTTGGTTGTACTACTTTGGTGCGAGAATCATCCAAGCTTTTCACAATCAAAGCCCTTGACTGTAAGGGGTCTGGGGCCTGGGTACCCCCCTCCACCCTCCCCCCCTTTTCTTCAGAACTCTCTGCTTACTTTTCCAATTAACTCCTCATCAGTCACAGGGGCAGGCAAGGATGGAGTATTTCATTAGACAGGCCTGTGAAATCAGACCACAGACAAAGAACAATGGGCCAGTTTAATGTAGGCCTCAAGATCACTGGTTTTGGCAGCGGATGTTTGAAATTAAAGGGGAGGAACACTTCCAGCTTCCAGAATAGCTGGCAGAAAGGTTAAGCCAGGCACTGGACACATTTGTGGTCAGGAGGAGGGCTTATCTGTATTCTCTAAAGTCTCTTCATTGTCTCCTGAAACCAGGAAAAGGGTATTTAGTAAGATCGAAACAGAAAGTGGAGAACAGAAAGTCAATAAATCAGTTCCTTTCAGCTTTACGGTTATATGGCATCATCTACTTTGTTATGTAATCACAGTTCCATGGTAGGAGTCCATAAGTCTGTAACACAAACATTCCTCACTTGTACTCATGCCAGTATCCTCGGCTGGGGCCTGATTGTGCAATGTTACTGGTATAATCATATCTGCTTAAAATGACTCAGTCCATTGTATGCAACATCTACTTCCACTGAACCAGGCATTTAAAGTACTGTGCTGGGATGCATTGATTCAGGGTTGATTCCAGTATCCAATATTTTTCATGTCTGATGATGCCGATCAATGTGAATATATAGACATTTATAAAATGTGGAAATTGGGACCAGATCCACCTGGATTAGCATTACTCAGAAAAAGCAGTTAGTTCAGTTTCAAAAGCAGTAAATTAATAAAATTCAGACATTTTAGCACAATAGGCCAGCATCTCCTAAACCCTCTGCTCTTCTGGAGTACAACAAATACCATCAAATATCAGTCTGAAATATTGGTTAAATGTAAACATCTCTCTAATGCCGATACATATTTTTAAAGCACATATCTGCTGATACCAGTATGATTCCGACTTCATCATGCATCCCTCATACTGTGCAAAAGGCTTAGGTCACTTGAGGAAATCATGTTTAAAGTCAACCTGAACTCAAAATTGATCTTCTGTTCCCTTGTTAGTTCATGTGCCTAGTCATAGTAAAGGGAAATTCAATTTCAATTTCGCAAAATCACTGCATATTCAGTGGTTTGTATAATGGTTTATTGCAGAAAAACTTACAGACTCAGGTGTTGCAATGTCTATAACCCAATTATAGCCATATTGGCCAATGAAGGACGAGATCTCATTTGAAAACTAGAAGAGGGCGAAATATATAATTTTCATGGTACTTAAAGAGATTTTCACAATATACAATGTTTATTTTTTCAGACAACTGACCAGTTGGAGCAGAGAAAAGGGAACCAGTAGTGCTATAGTTTAACAATACCATCAAAAGCTGAGAATACAATGATTTTAATTCAATATTGGCAAACTGTGTGCACCAAATCTAGTTAAACAGGACTGCTCTCTTTATAATGAAACATGCAGTTAGTTGATGTGTTACAAGTACTGATGATTTACATGGTATTTTCAGACAGGCATATTTTATATTTTACATCTGGTTCCTATCACTACCACTGGGAACAATTTTGACTATTCTGAGAATTTCACTTCAAAACACTCTTGAAGACTTTGTTTAAATCTTAACCATTTATGAAGCATGAATTTTGAAAAAACAGGAATTCCTCTTTCAGCACACCACAGCATTTAAAGAACACTGGGCCTCACTCACCAATATCTTCCTAAGTTTTTTTCTTGAATTTGTTCTTGAGAAAGGTTCTAAGAAAAAGCCAGATTTATGACGTGTTCTTAAACCGTAGAACTGTTCCACCTTCGTGCTCTTGAGTGTGTGTAGATTCTGTTCGTAGCTAAGAACAAATCCCAAATAGGAAAACATTGGTGAATGTCAGAATCTTAGTGAAAACTGCATAAGTGGGTTTAAAGAAGAAATTTCTCCCTAAGAATGTTTGGCAAATGAGGTCCAAAGTTGTTGTCTTTCAAAGGGAGTAATAATAATAATAATATAATAATAACCAATAATACAGAGTTTCACGTCACCATGCTCACCTATCATCGAGCAAAAATGCTTAGCTAGCTCAGTGATCCTACCTCATAGCATGTTTTACACAAAAGCACATCATAGAACTGAAGGAAAATGTGTTACTTCCAATTCACATCGATTTTCAATCTACTTATCTAGGCAATAAGCACAGATTTGTGCAAAAAAAGCACTTTAGAATAAATGCAAACAAGCATCAATACAATAGTGATTTTCTGTCAGTGTGTTAGCTTAACCATTTCCAAACACCTCTTCCAGGCAGTCAAGTATTTGTAGTTACCATTCAATACCTGGTTGGGCTAATCAATACTTCATTAAGTTAGATATGCTGATGGCTGGCAATGGCAATGGGTTTCCTCAAGGAGAAGAGGAACTAACCCTGTTCTTTTAACCATTTTACACAGCATCAATAACATTTTGGCAATCACGAACTGTATGTTACTTGTTTATTGTATTAAAGTGTATGTGTACATATTCTAATACTATACTGTGCTTTTACAAGTTTTTACGATTAACCACAGCTTGTTATACAATATTGTGCTGCTATCCAACATTCAAAAACCTAATTTCCATCCACCTTCCTGAAAACGCTTTCAACATTCAAACATTTGATGTCTTCATACAGTGCTCAGAATGCTTCTGTACTCTTTGCTTCACTCCTCTTCTCTCCAGGTTGGGCTTGCGCATGGAAGCTTGTCTAATTGTGGTCTGAGCTTGTTAGCGTCCAGCGCTAATCCCTCTCATGTGCTGGGTGCAGTGTGAAGCCACTGTCTCATTAAGACTGCTCCACTCCGCTAGCTTTAGCCTCGGCATGAGAAAGCCCTGACGCCTGAAACGCTCCTCCCCACCAAGCCCATCTGTCCTGCTCAAGGTGAGCTGCAACACGACTCCACTGCTCAAAACCATCAGCTGAGTAACCACGCTAAAGTGCACAATGTGCACACATGCTTCTGCAATACTGGTCACTGCATTCTGTGATTAGTATACTGTAGTCTCTGAAATATGCACTGAGAAAACAAAAGCATGGCATATTTCAGTGTTAACTGTTTCTCACTTATAGCTCATTGAAGCAGGCAGAGGAAAATCCGTTGAAAGCAAAAATGTTAAACTTAAAGCTGTCACAATCATGAAATTTTAGCTGATGGTATAAGATGAAAGTGATCAAATTAGCTGATTAGCTTTCTTGGTTCCAGTTCAAAATCTGTTTTTTGTTTTATTTTTTGCAAATCCAGTGCTTTTTTGCTTGCCAGTTTAAATTCAGTGCTTTTTTTGCTTTCTAGCTAAAATTGAGTGCCCTTTTTTCTAACTCAAATTCAATGCTTTTTTGTTCAGCTTCCTAGTGCAAATTCAGTGCGTTTTGTTTAGCATCCTTATGCAAATTCAGTGCTTTTTGTTTAGCATCCTTGTGCAAATTCAGTGCTTTTTTGTTTTGCTTCCTAGTGCAAATTCAGTGCTTCTTATTTCCCATCTCAAATTCAGGGTTTTCTTGTTTCCCAACTCAAATTCAGTGCTCTGTTGTTTTGCCTCCTAGTGCAAATTCAGTGTTTTTAATATCTTTTAAGACCTCAGCAAAGTTAAAAACAAATACAATTTCCA